TCCTCAGAACTGGACCCGAAACGTTAACTCTGTTTTCTCCTCCACAGATGCTGCCAGACCTGCTGAGCTTTTCCAGCAACTTTGTTTTTGTTCACACAAATAATAAGATTCTACACATAATTCCATTCAGCCTATTCCCTAATATTCCTATTCTACATTCAGAATGATAATTTGTATACGTTGGTTTTAAACAGACTAACATACATTTTGGGAGGAAACATGCATTAAAGCATTAACTCACCATCAATATCCCCAAAATTCAGCCCCTCACTGAGCTCACTCAGTGAGGGGTCCATATTCTCAAACGATATATCCTCACCCTCCATTGTTTTAAGGGTCGAAAGTTGGGGATTCCGATAATAAGAGAGTTACGTTTTCCTATATCTCAGTTTATGTTCCTGTTACTTTAACCCAACATTATTATTTCTCTTCGCAATGCCGCTGCCGCCGCCATCTTGGCCGGCCCCATTCCCTCACGCCACGCCCCCGTAACCCAGTGGCCGCGCCCCCTCCAATGCGCGTGTTCATCGAGCGGTAGCGCGAGCGGCGTCCGTTGGTGTTGGCCGCAAACACGAGATGCGGGTCGGCCAATCGCTGGGCCACACGGCCTTATGGGGTGATGCGACGTCAACATCGGTACAGTCCGTCGCCTTGGTGACCGGCGGCCGCTTGCATTCCAAATTTCCCCGTACGTCTTTCTCCCCAATGCAGCGTCAGGTGAGGGTGGGAATGTTTTTTCCGTCTTTTTCGTCCCAATACCTGCCAGCGTAAAGAGAGTGTGGCTGTGGAATGAAATAAAAATTGCACGAATCAAGGCTGGGAAAATCAGGAATTGCTGGAAAATCTCAGTAAGCCACGCAGCATAGCGGAGAGAAATGAATTCCAGTCTTCAGAACTGACCTGCTTACTAAGCCCGAGCCATTGACTCTGCTTTCTCTTCTCAGATATTGCCAGGCCTGCTGATTTTACGGCAATTTCTGATTTCCAGCATCCGAAGTTCTTTGTTTTGAGTTGTTTTCCTCAGGGGGAAGGGGGCATTTGATTAAGGCGTACAAACTCGTAAGGAAAATCTTCCCCTTAGAAGAACGGTTGAGAATAGGGTGCACGGTTTTAAGGATAGCAACAGGAGGTTTCAAGGGGATTTAAGGAAAAAGGTTTTTGCCCAGAGGGTTGTGCGTATCTGGAACTCTCTGCCTGACAAGATAGTAGTAGTGGGAACCCTTCACTCATTTAAGTATCATTTATATGAGCACTTAAAATGCAACAGCAAACAAGACTACGGGTCAAGTGCTGGAAAATGGGATGAGAATAGATAGATGGTTGGTGTGGACCAAGAGGCCGAAGGACTTCTTTTCGTAATGTAAAATCTTGACTCTAACGTTATCTTAAATCATCATTCCCCTCAATTATAGATTCTTTTTTCTGGCGAGTTTAAACTACCTTGTCAAACACCTTCCAGAAGTCCAAACGCAACACTGTTATTTCTCCTATAATGCATTAGTGCGTTCTTGTGTGACCTCGCGTTAAAAAGTTGAATTGAATCATTTATTGTCACATGTATTCAATGTAAAAATACAGTGAAAAGTGTTCACCTTCGCCATACATACATGGTGCCATTCACATTAACTTAGAATAAGACAAGAAAAAAAACTTGGGAGTCAAACATAAGTTTGTGCTATAGAAAATCACTTTGGAAAGTCATGTTATAGGGAAATCGTTATAGAAAATCGCTATACTGTACAGTAGAAAGTTTGCGTTATCCAAACAGTGTCCACTGTTCATCAATCACGTTACAGCCAATTCACATCAATGAAACAAGCGTTATAGCAGAAATACCTGTACCTCTACTGGTTTCCCTCTATACACTTCAGCTGAGACACTGGGAAAACTAGTAAATTAGGCAGGCACGATTTCCCTTTCATGAAGCCATGTTGACTCTGCTTGATGAGATTATGATTTTCCAAACGTGCTGGCATAACTTCCTTAATAATCAATTCCAACATTTTTCCAACAATATATGTTAGGCTAATTGGCCTATAGTTACCTGCCTTTTGTTTCCCTTTTCGAATAGAGGTGCCACAGCAGTTTACTAATCCTCCAGTTCTCCCCCAGAATCCAAAGATTTGTGAAAAATTACAACGCATGTGTCCAATACCACAGCAGTAACCTCTTTCAAGATCCTCGGGTGCAAGCCATAACAGCCAGAGGACTTATCTACCTTAAGCTCCATAATATTATTTCTCTAGTGATGGTATTTAATTCCTCCCCCATATCCTTTAGTATTAATGGCACTTTGGAAGAATCTTACACTGTAAAAACTGATGCAAAAGATCTGTTGAACTCCTCTGCCATTACCTTGTTCCCCATAACTATCTCGCCAGATTCATTTTCTAAGGGTGACATGTTCACTTTGACCTCTCTCATCTTATGTATTTAAAGAAGCTCTGTTTGTCAGTTCTTGTATTTCTTACTAGTTTGCCCTCAGTGTTTATTTCCTCTTTCTACTACTTTTTAGTCCTCTTGCTGGATTCTGAATTTATCCCAGTCTTCGGGGCCATCACTGACTTTTATCTTCTAAAATGCTATTTCTTTCATCTTTATACTCTCTTTAACTTCCTTGGTTAACCATGGTTGGTTTATCCCCCTCTTAGAATCTTTTTTCCTTACTGGGATATATTTTTGCTGAAAGTCATGAATTGCCTCCTTAAATGTCTGTTGCTATTTGTTTTGTGAGACTTGCTAGCGCTAGGTGCCTTTGGGTTCAAAAAACACTGTCGCCAAGTACTTTGGATTTGTTTGAAGTATGTCACAGAACTGAGAAAGGCACAGTAGCATTAAAACCTCCAAGAACGTGTGTGCAATACAGGTCTTTTGCTCTCTCCTCTGAGTGGAAAAATAAAGCACTAAAAGATGCTGAAAGTAGAGCTTTTAACTCAAGTAACAACTTAAATCCAACTGACTAGCTACCAAATTGAGGATCACCACAGTCAACAACAATGCAATACCATTGCCGAAAACCAAAAGAACTATGAGAAAGTTATCTTATTACGTTTTTGTCATTTGGACTCTTGATCCACAGAATTTGTTCCTTTTCACTTATGTTCCCCACCCATGATATTTCTCCTCCTACTTGTGAAAGAATATTGAGTGTTTAGGTTTAAAGGGGTTATAGTTTAAATTTGTACAGTAGTGATTAATCATCCAAATTGCCACTTGTTAAGGGATAAGTTTGTTAAAATAAATAAGTTTAGTTTTCTTGTTTATTGAATGAACCTGGTGCTTTTTAAACATCTTAGTGGTCAAAGTCAAGCAAATTAACGATCTTGGTTATTAAATCAGTCATTTATGCATTTGTGACAAGTCATACTAAACTTTTTAGACCTTTCTTCAATACCAACCAGGGAACCCAAATGCGCATCTTCCTCAAGTTCAAAAAGCAACTGGCACCACTACAGTATTATCTTTCCTGTCATTCAAGCCAGCTTTGTGTCCATGCTGTTACTTTTTTTTTATTCTACAGGCTTCAACTTTGATTACAGGCCTGTTACCTGGAACTTTATCAAGTCCATTTACATCACATCAACTTACAACATTTTGTGATGTTGTGATCCAGAAATTGCATCTGGATGGGTACATGAATAGGAACGGTTTAGAGGGATATGTGCCAAATGCTGGCAACTGGAACTAGGTCAGATTGGGGTGTCTGGTCGGCACGGACAAATTGGACTAAAGGGTCCGTTTCCATTCTTATGACTCAATGAACTGTACATCTCTGTTTCCCCATTATTGGGAAGATTGTTACAAGTTAGAACAAAATCTGGCTTGTACTTTCTTTTATTGAAATTACTATAAGATGAATGCCTGCAGGGAGCGTCTCATGGTAGAGGTCACACAACTACAACAAGCTAGGAGACACTTTTTTTTATATTCATTCGTGGGATGTGGGTGTTGCTGGCTGGTCAGCATTTATTGCCCATCCCTCGTGAGTCCAAGATGGCAGCAAAGTAGGAATAGTTGGAATACCTCTGCTCGCCAGGTCCTTTACCCCTTTCCCCATACCCGGTGTGTGGAGTTCCGGAGGACTGGAGCAAGTGGGCCAAGACCCACCGCAAACCGGAGCGAGCATGACTGAGACCCAAAGCAAGTGATCGAGTCCTGTGGCAGTCCAGAATGAGTGGGCCGAGAGCTGCGGAGAACCGTACGTCGCCGAGGCCAGGCGCCAACTCTCCAACACCTCCTCCTACTGACCACCAAACCATCATCTCCCAAACCATCCACAACCTCATCACCTCAGGTGACCTCCCACCCACAGCGTCCAACCACATCGTTCCCCAACCCCTCACCACCCGCTTCTATCTCCTCCCCAAAATCCACAAACCTGACTGCCCTGGTCGACCCATTGTCTCTGCCTGCTCCTGCCCCACCGAACTTATCTCCACCTATCTCAACTCCATTTTCTCCTCCTTGGTCCAGGAACTCCCTACCTATGTCCGTGACACCACCCACGCCCTCCACCTCCTCCAGAACTTCCAATTCCCTGGTCCCCAACACCTCATCTTTACCATGGACATCCAGTCCCTATACACTTGCATTCCCCATACAGATGGCCTAAAGGCCCTCTGCTTCTTCCTGTCCCGCAGGCCCAACCAGTCCCCCTCCACTGACACCCTCATCCGCTTAGCCGAACTCGTCCTCACCCTCAACAACTTCTCTTTCAATTCCTCCCACTTCCTACAGACAAAGGGGGTAGCCATGGGTACCCGCATGGGCCCAAGCTATGCCTGCCTCTTTGTAGGTTACATGGAACAATCCCTCTTCCGTAGCTACACTGGCCCTAAACCCCACCTCTTCCTCTGTTACATTGATGACTGTATCGGCGCCGCCTTGTGCGCCCACGAGGAGCTCGAACAGTTCATCCACTTCACCAACACCTTCCATCCCAATCTCTGATACCTCTCTCTCCTTCCTGGACCTCTCTGTCTCCATCGCTGGCAACCACCTAGAAACCGATATCCATTTCAAGCCCACCGACTCCCACAGCTACCTAGAATACACCTCCTCCCACCCACCTTCCTGCAAAAATGCCATCCCCTATTCTCAATTCCTTCGCCTCCACCGCATCTGCTCCCAGGATGAGGCATTCCACTCCCGTACATCTCAGATGTCCTCGTTTTTCAAGGACCGCAACTTCCCCCACTCAGTGGTCGAGAATGCCCTCGACCGTGTCTCCTGCATTTCCCGCAACTCATCCCTCACACCCCCTCCCCGCAATAACAACCAAAACAGAATCCCCCTCGTCCTCACGTACCACCCCACCAACATCCGGATCCAACGCATCATCCTCCGACACTTCCGCCATTTGCAATCCGACCCCACCACCAAAGACATTTTTCCCTCCCCACCCTTATCTGCTTTCCGGAGGGACCACTCTCTCCGTGACTCCCTTGTCTGCTCCACACTCCCCTCCAGCCCCACCACACCCGGCACTTTTCCCTG